TACCTTTTAGATGCCTGAATAAGTTTAGTAGACTATAAAGTCCTCTTTAATGTTTTATGCCATCTTTTAAGTGGTTATTAGTAGAAAAGAAAATATGAGTTGTTGAAATTTTGATGCATTATAAATTAATGCTTACCAAGTTCTCTTGGGAAACTATTGCTCGAGTGCTTACCTTTCACATGGGGGTCAGCACTGGTTTCCTGGTGTAAGAACTCACTCTATTTCATACTCATCTACCAGAAGTGGGACTTCAGTCTTTATACATTGCAGAAATTTACTAGCTGGCATGATTGATTTAATAAAAAGTAGTATGTCCATACCAGCAAAGTGATGACCTTGGTGTTCTTGTGATCTTTAATGTTCAGTGCTTGCCTCGTGTCTCTAGAGTTTATTCATTCATTATTCATGGTGAAGCCATAGTTCTTTTTGCTTATGTGGTATGTATTCTCAACCCCATATGTGTTAACTTTTTCACGACTTGGACACATTGATTGCCATTGTTGTTCAAATCCTTGCTTGTGTAGTTAGATATGACAAATTATATTGGCACCAAATGATCAAAATAATGTCAAAGATTACTGTTCTGTATGGACAAACATCTTCCTGATCTTGTTGCAAGCACTTGTCTCGTGTGTTCAAAATCTGTCCTTTTTTGTAATTTGACTTAAACTCCTATTCTTATTCTTATTTAATGACTTGCGAAAATCCATGTGCATCTACAACTTTATCTTGTTATGTGCTGTCATGTTTGTGCTCCTTTGAGCTACAACTTCAATCAAGGATTCATACATAGTAAAACATTATACATGTAATTATTATCATCTTTGGAAAGGACCGTTATCCACACGAACTTCAAGCCTCGTCAGTTAAACTAACTTCGTCTGCTTGATAAATCTTGTCAGTTAAAACAAAGTTCGTCGGTTCAACGAACATCGTCAGTGAAAATGAGGTTCGTCAATTATTCGTTTATATTTGTTACTTAAGCAACAAAACTTTTGTAAAGTTGCTTCCTGATTGGATAGTTGTCATGTTTGTGCAACATCAGAAGCAATTCCAGCACTCCTGAATACTGATGTAGTGTAATATACCACATCATTTATACCACCTAGTTGCTGAAATAGGAATAATGCTGCCCCCACGCTAACAACTGCAGTTTGGAAAATTAGTCACAAATATTAGGTCTATATAAATGACCTGAAAAACCAGAAAGCTTACACGTTGTTTCCTTTTCCATTTGTTTAGTTTGTGTATGTGTCTGTGCTTTATGCATTCCTCCATCGTTTTCTTTTACTTCAACTGTTCCATTTGTTTAGTTTGTGTATGTGTCTGTGCTTTATCCATTCCTCCATCGTTTTCTTTTTATTCAACTCATGATGTGAGCGTTCTAACTTTTAAGCATAGCAATGCTCAAGGCATGTGATGTGTTATAATACTTTCATTTCTATTTCTATTTCAATGACAATCCAAACAAGAATAAAATGG